CTGCCTCCCCCACGTCCCACCGAAAAGCAGGCAATGCTGGGATTCAATGGCTGTGAGAGGGGCCTGGAGTTGCCTGGGCTTTCATCGGTGCCGCACACACATCTGCGCCTGGTAGCGCTATTCCCAGGAGTGGATGCTGCCTCGAGCATGCAGGCATGCCCATGTGCAGCACTCCTCAGTCTGTGAGCGGGTGTGTGCCCTTGTCCCCCACTTGCTTCCAGAAGTGACTGGTGGTGGGAGGGCATCCCCCCCGGAGGTCAGAAGTGTGGGCAGCCTCCCCAGAGCCTGTGAAGAGGAGCCTAAGGGTGCTCCGGAGCTGCCTCCTGGGGCTGCGTGGCACAGACTGGCGCTGCAAGTGCATCCACATGCACAGACTGCAGCACGAGGACCAGGCTGAGAAGGCCGAGCAATGATTGCACCTCAGCCCCATAGCATCTGCCACCCCTACCCTATGTGTGTGAAAAACTAAGAGCGCTCACCTGATGATTGCTCCCCGGCCTTGGAGGATGCCTGGGAGGCATCCAGGCCCGGGGATACTGGCTCTATGGTGATGGTAGTCACCATGCTGGCCATCTCTTCATTTTCTTCCAGGTCTTCGTCGTCCTCCTCCTTCTCCTGGGCTGGGACCCCTGGGTGGGAGACGACGGGCATCTCCAGCCCCCAGTCCATCACCCGGGGTGGGGAAGGGCTGTACCACCCCCCAGGATGCAGTGCAGTTCTGCATAGCAGAGGCAGGAGTGGAGTCCTGCCCCGGAGCGTGAGCTGCACTCCCTTGCCCTGGCATAGCCCTGCTGGAGCTCTTTCACCTTTCTCTTGACCTGCTCCAGAGTCCGATCGTGGCCTCTCATAGCTAGGGTCTTGGCCATCTGGCCATATATGTCGGCATTGCTCCATCTGGAACTGAGATCCTGGAGGCTCTCCTCTTCACCCCATACCTCCAAGAGGACCAGGATATCCACCCCAGACTAGGATGATGCAACAGTATTTGGAGAAAATGTCCTTCTCTCTGTGTGTGGCTGGAACATTGGTGTCCGCATGCAAAGAACTGGCAACCACACGGTGTATTGCAGCTCCCAGAGCTGGTTTCCTGCCACAAGCCCTTTCCCAGGTGTCTGTAGCTTTATGAGCTGCTGGGAGACAGAAACTATAGAGTTGTGATGAGTGTGGCCAGAAGGGCACCTGTGTTATTTCCTGGAGGCCTCTTTTTTCAACAGAACTCTCTCTTCCTCATCCATGCATGCCTTTTTCCAAAAAAGCTTTTTTGGAAAAAAGCTTATTACTCATAGAATGAGCTATACTGCAGTCAGAAAAAGCCCTCAGTTATTTCAACTTTTTGTTGAAATAACGCAATTGTAGTGTAGATGCTAGTATTGTTTTTCCAGAATAACGGCCGTTATTTCGGAAAAACACTGCAGTGTAAATGTATCCTTATTCTCAGTATTCTTTTTTGCAAAATTCAAAAGTATCACAACAGGATACCACAGTAACTCCACAATTAAACTTGCTGTATTTATTTTCTTGTGACCCTGAAAGTTTACAGGTAACATGAGAAAATGAATAAAATCTGAATGAACAAATGATTTTTTTTCTCCTTCTTACTCATTTTTGTTCTCTTTAAATTTCAGAATATATAGTTCTATTAAAATACTACAGCATCTTCCTTCTTTTATTTTTTTCTTTTTATCTTCATTTCTTTCCACTCTAGTACACGAAAAGATTTGAAAGTGAACTGATGTGGAAGATAAATCTGAAGCAGGTATAATGCAGTTTGTGTTTGCGACTTGGAAGATGCATTTTCTGCCTCAAATGAAGACTTTAGGCACTTCAGTTGTCTTTTTAAATTTACTTCACTTTTTCATGAATGAACATCATTACGATAAGTAACCAGAAGGACCCAACGTTAATATAAATAGCACATCCATAGTGGTTGAATGATTGACCAAACTTTTAAAACTCTTAAAATATTTAAAAAATATTTCCACACCTGGGAAAGGGCTTGTGGCAGGAAACCAGCCCTGGGAGCTGCAATACACCGTGTGGTTGCCAGTTCTTTGCATGCGGACACCAATGTTCCAGCCACACACAGAGAGAAGGACATTTTCTCCAAATACTGTTAAATATATTTCAATATAGGAGGGGCAACTCTCCATCTCAAAATAAATCTTAGCTGCATTCTAACTCACACTGTAATAGCCTTGTTTACATTAACTCATACCACAAGATTCTTTTGAACTCAGTGGAGTTACTTGTAGTATAAGATAGTATTCATTGTTGGTATCATGGCCTGGCTCTTAGCAGTTATCATCACATAACAACAGATTAATGTATTTTATTTTCTGTTTGTGTTTGATTATAATTTGTATCCTTCATTCTTCACTTATGAGTATCTCTGTTTACTTTAATGGGATTGCTCATTTGTAACAGTTGCAGGAAGCTCCTTCACAACTTTTTTCTTTCCCCCATTTCTATTTTTAATGATAAAAACACATGTAACTTGTAAGAACAAAAGCTTACAGAATCTTATTCTGAAAAGATAAAAATTCCTCTTGGAGAA